AAACGTTATGCATCGCGCCCGAACGCCCTACGTGCACGAAAAAAGGCTAAAATTAAGATCTCTTTAATGCTCTAGATTCCCCGCATACACCCGAGTGGACTAAGAAAACTTGCGGTTAACCACACGAAAGGGACGACTTAACATCGCGAACAGTCTTGCACTTCGCGGATACAAGTTAAGGTGTTACGAACTGTGGAATCTATACAGTGAAATACTGTATTTGCGCAACAGGTTTTGTAACCATGGAGAAGTATTGTCACCACTCATTATGCACATTGATTGATGCAACAAATGTTGCAATTACTTCAGCAATGTTCAAAACATTAACTTCAGCTACCAGTCTTTTCTAAGTTTGTATTCAAATACTTTCAAAGAGGAAGATGCTCATTTCTCTTTCTGTTTGACTAGAAATGCAGTTTAACCTTTCGCTTATTCTGTCTTTGATTACCTACATTTGCAATGTTTACAACGTTCACTAGTTTAAATTACAATGTTCACAAGTGTCAATTAGAAAATTATGTTAAAAGCAGATGCTAATGTTATCTGTCTCATTCAGATAACCTTTTATGAATTTTGCACATGATTCTCTCTAATTTTTATTTCACTAATAGTATCAACAGGTTGCTTCAAAGATTCCCTTCAATTTAGTTTACACTAAATAAAGAATTTCGAACTGTTGAACCTCTAAAATATATTGTTTAAAAAGTTATGAACTCGAGTTAGGGCTATATCTGGGCTGCAAGGGAAATTTCAACAAAATCAACACTATCTAATGCCATTACTTTCTTTCAACAAAAGCCATGCTCTATATTTTGCTGCCAAAATTTTCCATTCTAATCAATAAATCATTACCTCTAATAGAAACATTACTGCATACATGCTACCAAAGAGTAAATAAAGCAACATGTTTAATAGTATTACTACTCTTTGATAACTTTTTTTTTTCCCCACATGATTTCCATTTGGTAGTCAACCTTTAATTGTGAATGCTATAAACGAAAATGATTTCTTAAGAATATGCTGTTATTCAGGGAAGACATTCCTTGCCCTTTACTAAGGTATCCTGGAAAATTTAAGCAGTTCCAATTCATTGATATTAAAAAGAAATTAGTCATAATTTTTAGAAGAAAATTTTTTATGATAGTAAGATTCTTAAAATTCAGTTCTATTTTCATTCTTATTCACAGACTTGTCAAGAGAATGCTTGTTCAAAAATTATCACAATTAGATTAAAAAAAGGATTTATACATAGTATTAATGCAGTATGAAAATACTATCACAGATAATCCATACAATAACATTCAAACCACAAGTTAACTACTTGAAACTGACGTAATTTTTCCTGACACCATATTACAAATTCTGACTCACCTATTTTATTACTGTGTGCAATAAGTTACAGGGAACTTTTTGCACAACAAATCAATTTTAAGTTTTGAAAATAATTTACCATCAATAAACATAACTTTAACCAAATGGAGCTTAATGGTTCATACTTCAATCATAAATTGAAAATAAATGCAGTTCAATAAACTTGACATTGGAACAAACACTAGGAGTTACATTACCCCTCAAACGTTTAAACCACACCTCCATTTTTATATAATACATCAAGGTTTGAAAAATGTATTTCTTTAAAAAGAGTAAAATAAATTCTTAATGGTATGAGGACACTTAAGATTCAGCAAATACAACAGCTGTAAACCAACGTTTCTGATGAGCACGAATTCCTGAACAAGTTCTGAGCAGCACAATCTGGAACTAGTTCTCCCCTACACATTCTTGAACTAGTTCTAACATTTCAATTACATTAAGGACTTGTTTTTGCACATAAGTAGTCTTCTCCTACCGTTAGAACAGGACCTCTCCCGAAGTAGTTGTATTAAAAATGTGTACCACACCTTTGAGACAAAGTCACCTTGGACCTGGAAAGAAAACACACTCGAACTTATTTAAAATTTATTACAGAATTATTAATCTAAATAGTAGATTAGTGGTACAATAGTTAGAAAATAGACCCTGCTCAACCCACACTCATGACCATGACATCATCCCAAAAGATGCTTCTGACTACCAGGGGAAAGAGAGAAAGAAAGAAAAAATAAAAGCTTGTGAAAAATTGAATTAGTTCGTAGAGTGAAGGCAATAGGCTCTACTGAGACGATTCCCTTGAGCATCCAAAACATAACACATGCCTTGCAGAATTAAATCAATGAACAAATCAACATTTTAGTAATTATTGAACTAGAAACAAGCTCCAGTGGTGGCATCAAAGACATTATGATACTGACTTAAATGTATGTACATATATAATATGCATTTCCCCACATATTTTGGGGAATGTTTCAGTATTGCAAGAAATACGAATTACAATACGAAAAATCTATTTATTAAATTTAATAAAGTTAATGGTTATTTAAAAACAAGAGACGAACCATTTCAATCAATGCTATATTGAGTTTTTTTATTTATATTATTTTGTAACGAGATTTAAGTGTCCTGGAACAGGTGCTTCATAATGGCATGTACTTCGTTACATTTCAGCCTTTCCTTTCACAAGTCACTCGCCAATTTATTTCATCTGTTCCTTGATTACATAACATCATAAGTTAATATTTTCTTCTGGCTTTTCCAACACAACAGACCAATTAAATTTTCTTAGTATGTGGCAGCTGGGAGTCGAGAATTGCGACGTTTATGTAATTGAGGCCGCCTAGGCCACGCCCCACTAATAGTCGCTCAGTTGCAACAAGCTGATTTATCATTACGAGGTTTAGCATCCCTCCATGAACCAAGAGAATTAAACATTTTTAACTAGAATTTGGAATATTTTGTTGTAATCTGCTATGTGGAAAATGCTGAACCTTCATGTAAAGTAGACTCAAAATAAAAAAAAATTAAAAAATCCGTTCAACCTCGCGAAGCCTCCTGTTCGTACATCAATCGCGGAATGTCAATTTTTGAGAATATCGTCTGAACTGTTTACACAGTAGCGTAGGCCACAGGCAGACGTATACGAATTATCGTACCAATTATCGTTATCAAGAACCTTCAAAACTTCGATTCTGACTACACAACGTGTTACAGGAAATGATTTACCACTATTGGAAGATTTATCGAAGTTTTCTGCCAAAAAACGCCACTTTCCGCTTCAAACTTACAATACGCTCTTTATTACCTAACTACGTAGTAATGTGAGAGTAAAAATCAATAAAGGGGGGGGGACTTGCTGATTTAGGGAGATTGTTCCATTTATAAAAATCAAAATTTAAGAAATTGGAAACCAGGAGAAAAACCATACTACAAAATACCTTACACTTAACATGGGTATAGGTATAGGTTCAACTATCCTCAGACTGACCTTGAGATTTCTATTACCAAATTACTATTGAACGAATCACGTAAAAAATCACAGTATGTGCTGAAATACTTAGATTCAGTTAAATTGCTACCTGTATATTAATGATAAATAAAATTTACAAAAATTTTGGATGATTTGTGTAGATATTATAGAAATAAGTTAGGGTTTCAGTCCAAAGGAATTGAATAGACCCTTTATGGTCCGTTTTGTTTTTGGAGAGAGAAAAAACTCCAGAAAAAGAACGTTACACTTTAAAAAGCAGCAATCAACAAATTTAGTTTTCCCCTTGTTAACAATACTTTCTCTGGAGTACATGTACTCGCAATGAAGATTGACACTTCACGTTAGCAGGTTATGGTACCGTTTATATTTCGAATTTTTCAAAAGGAGATTTAAAAACATTAGACTTAAAAATACAATTAGTGAATACGCTATCTTTAAACACGTTTTTAATTACTGAAAAGCAATTCATTTTAATAATTTCCCCGCACAATGGTTGGACTGCATTCAGATATTAAACTTAAAATAGTTTTTTACTGCACAAAATCTGTCAATACACAGTACCTTGTCAGTCACAATTTTCAAGTTCCGCCATTCTCAACAGCAAAATCTTCGGACTCTTAAATGCTGAGCATATTCGACTTTTGCATCTTGTATTTGATCTGAAACAATTGTAATGATTAATTAATAAAGGAATGAACAGAAATAATGTCAATGAAAAGTATGATCAACAGTTAAGAACAAGAACTGTGTGGCACCGACATCAGAACAGACCACTGGGAATTTTGTGCAGGGAGATGCGATGAAGAAAACTCACGAACTATTAGAATCAAGAACATTCAGTTCCTTATACCTGACGTTTCGATCCTAAATATTGAATCGTTTTCAAATAACCGAGTCTAGGCATATCCCATCTGAAGGCCTGAAACGCGTGGCAGGTTGGCGCTCCCTATGAGTCAATGAACGGGCGAAGTTTCGTAAAGTGACCTCGTGCGCTCTGAGAAAACACCCAGGACCGGTGCAGTAGCTCCACGGGAGAGCCTCATCTTAACATTAACACTACCCAATAAAACAATTCAATTCTTCGTGCAACAAAAGTAACTTCTTACTGAGCATTGGAATCGGAAGTAAATACATTTTTATTCGTTTTAAAAGAAAAATATTCAGATCCTGGAGGAAATGGCCCCAGCTGATCCCTAGTCTGGGCGCCCGTGATGTGCAGAGCTGGTCGCTGGTCGTACAGTCCATTCCCGCGGCACGGGGTTGATTTAACTAGCGAGGCGTACATTTTCTGAATGCTGTTAGTGCCAAAATATTCTAAGTTGACTTTTTCCGCACCTATAAGTTTTAAGTAACTTAATGCATCATCGCAAGTACGATGGCAGGCATTACTTTCCTACGACACAAACGGACTCTACAAGTTATGCAAGGCATAACTATGTAAGTGATCAGTGGAATTTGCTAGCTGCAATTGCGGGCTGTTGTTGTGTGTGCTACGTTGCATTAGACCGTTTCTAATTGTCGTTTGGAAGCCAGAGTACAATAACGGAAGCGGTAATAACAGTGAAATTCAATTCTTCGGAGAAACAGAAGTGGGGAATACAGTAAAAAATACGCCGACATTAACTAGAAACATGGCAGCGAATGTTGCTTTAATAGATCACGATAGCTAAGTGAACGAGACGGTTATGGTGGCTAGTCTCCAAGTTTTTTTTTTCGAGAATTACTACTGATTACACTATGGATTTTCAGTCATAAAATTCGAAGTCAGATGTTCCCAAACATTTTTTGGACAAGATATTTGTTTCTGAAACTTCTTCCTATGAATTTGAAGAGTTGTTTCGTGACGGTAGCAAATTTATCAGAGTTTCGAAAATAAAATTATCACATGAAGGAATAGCATTGTACACGTAGGCTTCCGCGGCTGGAGTTCATGATTTCTTGGCTGTCCGGGTGACACCGCGTCGTTCTTGAGAGGCCGACGTTTCGCCTGTCATATCGCAGGATTTTTCAGGGCCCCTGCGATATGACAGGCGAAACATCGAGCTCTCAGCCAACGACACGGCGTCACCCGGACAGCCAAGATGTCAAGGAATAGCATTGTTATCACACAAAAGTTTAATGCAAAAATATGTCTTCGTGTAATTTAGAAAAAGATCAATTGTCCAGTGTAAAATATATTATTTGTGTACAGTAAGGCATTTCGGACTCCAAATGGTAATGTTTGGTCAGATATTCTTAGATTAGACAGTCTTTTCATAATTTTCGTAATAATAAGCCATGTTTGGAAACAAATCAACAGCAAATTTCACTGCGTTCATCTGAAAAATTACCCTGCTTTAGTATGAAACGATACCTTTACATTCTGTATCAATCTTATGCGTCAGAGGAATAGAGTTGATATGCCGGCATTTACCTTCCAAACTACGTATTTACACAGTTCATGGCATGAACACCGGTGAAAAACCGCAAACAATGGTGACTTTTGGGGGATAACTAAAATGCTGTGTGTCACAGTTTTACATACACTGGAAATATTATAGAAGTTGTGAAAGGCAACGAGAAGAAACGCCTGGAAAATGTAGCCATGAACCACGCATAAAGATTCGAAGCAGTGTTAATCGAACGTATGTAGAATGTACAAGTCATTACAGTTTTAGATCTACAACAGTTTTAGAACTATTTATACTGATTATGTCTAGCAAGTTAAATGTCGAAACGAAATGCAATGAAAACCTAGAACTAATGCCATTTGAAATATGGAATTTAATTTATTTTAGAACGCCGTCCTCTAACACGCATCAAGTTCCTATCGGTGTGAAAAACATATCTAAAATATTTCAAATAAATTTGGCACATTACGGGTAGATAGTATGGGAAGTGCATTGCAAAGAAATACATTTTGAGGCCACAATTAAAAATTTACTTTTCAACAAAAACTTTTGCTTGTTTACTTGCGGATTCCGTTGAACACTCTTCTTTAACTTCAATTTCACGGGATAATGACATTTTTAATATATATTTACGTTATGGCATAATACTATTATTCACTAAATGATTGCTTTTATACTGTCATAGTGACGTAGATAAACATTTTCGCGATATTTCCGTTGAAGTAACGAAGGCGCAAATTCAAAACTACTTCGCTGGGGCGTTCTAGTGTTAGAAATTTAAAACAGACATTTAAATTAGCACTAAAAATTTTTCTTTTTCTTGTTTTAGAAGTACTCGTTTAGAAAGGTTCCGAAGAAAATATAATATAGTTACATTCATGGAATGTTTGATTTCATTAATCTGATAAATCCTCGTAGCAATAATTTCGATCACTTTCCGGGTAATTTGGACAAAAAAAAGGCTGAATCGCAGTAGCTACCCTTTAGCTTTTCATTAAATGCAAGTCGATGCTTACATGCTAAACACAAGATATTTATTCTCACGCTTAATTTAAACAATTTAATACCTTCCATAACAAGTAACTAACGAGCTACAACATTACATACTTTCTTGCATTTTTTTAGATCTGCCCGTCCTTTTAACCGTCCCTTTTTCTATTCGTAGAAAAAATGTAGCAGTTTTTGAGAACTTTTTTGTAATTTGAATTAACCTCAAGCATAAAAAACTAAAAAACTCATTAAAAAAATTACCTTTTTTTTTTAAATCTGATTTTGTAGAATAGATTTCATTTCAAACCAAACAAAAATAACCGCATTCAATATTGTACTTTTTCAATGTTAACTTTTTGCAATTTTCAAAGAAAGTTCTCAAAAAATGGAAGCGGCACCAATTTCTATACCACCCTTTGGTACATACTATGAGAAAATTTTAAGAAAAAATTGAGCTCTTTGAGAGGGGAAATGTTTAAAATTCTAAGTAAAAAAACCTCCAACACCAGAGTTTTTGCACGTATTCATAATACGAAATACCTGCGAAGTAAAATGAAGCACACATTTATTGACCGTTTTTAGATTTCACTGTACTCTGCAGGATAAAACGAAAAAACCTACATTTTTTTTGTTAAGGATAATTGCTTTTTGATCAATAGATACGAGAAATATTAGAAATATTTAGGCATAAAAAAAAAATTGACATTTATTGGAGTAATAGTGATTCTTAGGCACTATGAAATTCGCATATAATGCTCCTAATGCCTCAAAAGAATAACAATTACAAACGATTGCATTTGCCATTATAAAATAGGCGACTATCGGCAGCGTAAATCACAAAAGTCACTTAAATTTTCAGACGAATAGGTTCTGTTCCGAATATAATTTTAATAGCACTGTATCCGAATGTCACAATTCTCCAACCAGTCAAGCGTGCGTGGAAGAAAGGAGTGTCAACATGGCGTCGAGAACGTCCTTAGAGGCTCTCACTATAAAAGACTTCGATCCGGTGTTGGAGAAGGTAGTGCGAGCAATAAAGACAAACTTGAAAAAACAGTAATGTAATGTAATAAGAAAAAAACAAACACTGTTGCATAGTAATAATGAGGTGAAATTATTCAAATTAGGTGCGCCAAAGTGCACATATAATAACTCTAGAATTTGATTAAACTAAAATTAAGACACTTTTAGCTGAGATAAACTTCCTCTAATTGTAAGGAAGCTTCACATAATGTGATGGATAAATTGCAAGGCGTCTTACAATTTAAAGAAACAAATTACTGAAGGGGACTGAAGGGGAAATTGAAAACAAAAGAGTTAAGTTTGTATCAGAGACAGAAACTGCGTGTAGCCTTTTTAAACCTATTAAAATCAAAGATGAAAGATACAAAAAACAAAACTTCGAAATTTTGTAAACCATCACGGAAGAAACGCTACGATTAGTTATCTAAGTCTTTTGCAAGCGAACCCCAGTACTAATGTTGAGTGATAATTGTTTTTTTGGATCTGAGCTAGATCTCGCCATCAAACGTGAGACCTCGCGATAAAAAAAAACACTACACTTACGAGGTTAATGATCACAGCAGATGAAACTAGTATCTATCATTTTAGACATTTGAATTCAAAGATTTACGGTAGTACCCAGATAATCTGAACACCGCAATTCCGAATTTTCGGATAATCCAAACAAAACTTCGGACGGAGGAAAAGAAAAAATAAACTGCAATAGCACTTGAATTAACTAAATTTATGAGCGAAAAAGCATGAACATGATGTAATCAGACCCATTCTGAATACTGTACGTAAAAATATAACTAGCGACAAAAACTGAACGGAAACTCTTCTAAATAATGTAGCACAGACTACCGCTTCCGGTCGGTTATGTACGTATTTTATTACTTTGTTCACAGCATTGCCACTTCATGTCGTTACGCTATGTTGCTAGGCTGAAATGTAGTATATGGTACAACCTAAGGAAGTCGTTTAAACCGGTAGTTCGCGCCGTTCCAGCGTTAACTAGGCAGCTAGAATTCTGGAGGCTTTCTCGAAACGTGATATCTTATAAAAGTGAATTGGTAATTATGCGTTGGATAGTCTCAAGGACGTTTATAGTGAACGCGAGGGCCGAAGGCTAGCCTCGCCGTGACTTGGATCCGGGCCAGCGAAGCGAGAAAACTTGCCGTTGAAAGTAAATTGGCGTTATAATGCGGCGGGGACAAAGCATATGAAGGGCGAACCATAAAAATCTCCTATCCGTAAGTTTTATTTATTTCTATTAGAGCACGTATAGTAATTAGGGCTTAAGCCCCGCCGCCACACTTCAAGGGTGTACCGCATTCTAAATTTCAACCCGTTGCTATTATATCACATCGCACGATGCATTGTGTCTGGTAAATCAAAAACTTATTTGTATTAGTATAGTACTTTTATTATAATCTGACCATTTCCGAATCCGAACAGACGACACCTCCAATTAGTTCGGAATACGAAGGTATTAAATAATTAATTGGTTAAAAAACATCTACCATGCAAACCAAATCCACACACAATTTTGCCAAAAGTTAATGTTCTTCAAACTACAAGCTCAATTCCGTTCGACTGGCTCCATTTTTAAGCTCTTCCAATGTCAAGTTGACCTTTTAATTCGTTTGGCTTCTTTGAACATAAAAGCAACATTTTCAAGTTTTTCCCAAATACTGCTACTAATCGTTTCTTTAAATTTTTTGCCCGGATGAAAAAGTTTATTAAGGTGCGATAGCTGTACGATTTTCAGCATAACTTGGGATTTTTCAATAATCATAAAACTTCGCCTTTTTGAACCTCTACATATTTACTGAAGCATTTGAATCTTCATAGGGTACTTTCGCCATCAATATTAGAGCTTCAAATGATTTGATATACAATT